ACTTTCTGACGATCCTAATATGCTATCAACCATCCCATTCCTCCACCACCCTGGGTCTGCCGAGGGAATGAGGGAATGGGCAGCGGGAAACCTTGGGGGCTGATGTAAGCTCCGACCAGGTGGCTGTGCATCTGCGTCCCCCAAAAAAGTACGTTTGTCCGATCCCCTGGACGAGTGCCGACCAGAATTTCTTCCCGACGATAACGCGCTGTGCAAGTCCTGCTTGCAGCAGAAGTCATCGTTATTGCGCGCTAGTCATGATTGAACCATATCCGCTGTCAGACGGCTATAGTCGTCCAAACTTATCCCCGCTAGCGACACTTGCCCGGAAGCAACGGCTGGCCTCCCACTCTGGTCCGAGATATCAGAGGTTTCGCTCAAACCAACACTCCAAAATAACTGCGAGTCTTTTACGTGAGGGAGTACCGGTAAAAGTAGGAAATCCCGTTCTTCCCCCGCTGCAGCTGAGGGCTCGCTGACGGAACGCTACAAAGGTCAGCTCATGGAACGAATTGATTGATGTAAGATCCAGGATAATCAAACTGGAACGGTTGGAACGGGAATAAGACGTTGCATGTTTCCAGCACTTCATCCGGCATACCTATTCGGGCTACTCAGACCAGGATATCCGGAGTGGGCAGGCAACAGATTGTTCGGAACCCTTTCTGTTCTTACCGTCCTGCCAGACAGTTCCCGTCACATGCGATGATCCGCGCGTAAAACTTCGCGGCCGGAAAAAAGTGGTGGCCAATCGTTTCATTGCTGCCAACGAAGTCATCGGGATCTATGAGGGTGCTGTCTCATTCGAATATGAGAAGGTGAGTTATAATGTTCGACCTTCTCCTTGCTTTATTTTGCGAGCGCTGATACTTTAGAAAGTTCGAAAGTATCAATGTTTTGAACAAGCTTCAGAAAGAGTGGAAAACCTTCGAGTTCCAATGCATGGATGGGGTATCTTGGAACTTTGATAGAAACAGCGCCGTGGCATGTGGTTACAATCCACAGAACGACTTGCCTTGGGGGTCCCAATTTGAGAATGCTCTCCTTATTGACGGCGACCTCACAACAGGCGCCTATCAAGTACGTGAGCTTCCTGCCTCCGAATTGCTTTTCCTAGTAGCTTACCGACATCTGAAAAGTGGGTCACGGAGTTGAACGATTTCCGTTTGGATCCTTTTGATGTTCTGGCGGACACATCCTTAGGACCGCAACCAAACATTGCCACAGTGGAAGTCCTTGTGCTAAACTGGTTAGACACGGTCCGCCCGAATTCGTTGACTTCCTTCTACTCACTACAATCCGCCTAGGCCATGCATCTTTATCATTGCAAGGGAAAGCATTTCAACAGGCGCCGAGCTTTTGCTCGACTACGGAAGTTACTGGTCGGAGTTTCGTGCAATCGAGCGTGATCAAAGATTTCTGAAGACATTCATTTATGAAAAAGTCGACCCTCTCAACGACGAGATACGTCAAATCACTTGCAAACAGGCTATTCTCGAAAACACGCTGCGTGAGCTTAACACGATTCTGAGCAGCAAAACGCCGAATGGCATCGCCTTGACGAGTGCTTTAACAAAAACCATGGAGAACCTTCACTCAGATATAGTTGCGGCTCAAGCGGTTATTCAATCGCTGGCAGCGTCTGGCGGGCTGGCTCATACGGGCAGCCCTCTCGCCGAAGAACAGCACACACATCAAAGTAGTGAAACCGACGAACCCGGCTCTACAGGTGGCCCGATAGCCGTGCGCGTGTCCGCAGAAAAGAAAGCCGAAGGTAAACCTACGGGAATCTCGTGATAAGATGACGTTAATGTATTTTCCCTGATGTTCTTCTTGCCACTTGACATAGAATCACCTGATCCACTAACCGCCGGACATCAGCCACTTGGAGGAGTTAAAGCAGTACTTCCGTTGACTCGCAAGCGGACCCGGGGCCCACTCCCGGAAGTTGAGGGCCCTTTCCTCAAGCGACAAAGGAAAGCTGCCATGCTTGCCCCTTTGTCAGAAGAACAAACTCTCAGGCAAAGGGACGCCACCCAGCGCATCTGCAAAAAACTTCTGCAAAATCTCTCCGGGCGACCGGCCGCAGAGATATTTGCTGGCCCGATCGACGATGATGAATACCCTGATTATCATGAGGAAATCGCAGTGCCAATGGATTTCGCCACTGCGCGGCTCAAACTGGACAAGGGTTCCTACGACACTATAGAGGACTTCGTTGATGACATGCGTCTGATCTTTTCAAACTGCCTAATGGTGAACCCCCCTGGCCACGAGTACAATGTGGTGGCTCAACGATTCGAATGGTTTTTACCAAAGCTTCTCTCTGAGCACGTCTGGTTCTGCTCGGATTGCGGGGGCCTTCTCGAACTCTTGGAATGTACCGTATGTCTGCATCGGGCCAAGAGATCGCAGCGAACGTCCTCGGTTAGCTTTCATGAGGTTAAGAAGCGATTCTATGGCTTCCGGACAAAACAAAAGATCGTGGCGAAATGGTTTCAGAACAGCGTTTATTACAGCGCGGAAATTGTCGAGGAAACTCCGGATTGCGGGCTTTATCGTGTCGCTTTTTCGGATGGGAATCCGCGCGAACTGGATATCCGCGACATCTTGATGTATCCGGAACCAACTCCGGACCAGACCCTAGGGTTGTTACCCGCAGGATCAAAAGCACTGGCATTGCTTCCGCTGGAGAACGACGAATCGGGCGAGGGAGGACGATTCATGCCGGCCACCATTGTGTCTTCGTCGGTGACCCAGTGTCAGGTCAAATTTGACTGCGGCGCGATCCGATCGGTGACAGTAACCTGCAAGCGTTCCAACGTGATCAGTATCGACGAAGGTCACTTTCGACGAAGTCTTCGGCAGATTCGAGAAAAGGCAGAGCTAGAAAACAAAACCGGGAAACCGGGAAAAGATCTTTTAGTTCCAGCCGTAAAGCCCCCCGATGACTTCCGCGCTGCCATAGCGGGAGCCACAGGGAATATTGCATCGGGTCAAGTTCCGATTCGGCTTACCTGTAATGATCTAAAAGACGTCGCTGTGGAGCTGATGCAGTCGGGCGGGAGCGCTGGCGCTGCGCAGGCTAAGAAGAACACATCAATCGCGCCGGCCGACAATGCCGCAAACTTATGGCCGCTCAATTACAAGCGGGCAGCGGAAAACAAGGTCGTAAGATCCGAAAGCCCACGTAGCGATCGAAGAGTCACACGTGGAGTTTCGTTCGACAATGCGCAAACAATGAAAAGTTCATTTGGATTTGTTGCTGCTCCTCTGACCGCGCCGCAAGCGATCCCGGGTGCCCACACCGTCCGACTGGCACCTATTAGTAAGCCATGTTTCTCCTCCGCGGCAGTGTCAAGACCACGCCCAAGCGTGGGCAGCGTCACGTCACCCATTGCCCCGGGATCAGTGAGCCCGGCAGCTGCGCAGGAACCGATTATTGTGTGTATCGAAACAGACGCAGCGAGAATAACGACGTCTGGAGCTGTGGCTAGCACGTTATCTCGACAAGATTCCGCGAGTTCGAACGGCACATGTCTGTTCGGAGCAGGGAAACCTGCAAACAACCCCAAAGTTACAAAGTATCAACGCCAACGCTCTTCCAGTATTATAATTGTCGATGACGGCCCACCGGTCTTGACAGTAGGAAGAGGTGGAAAAGGAGAGGAAACGATCATCATTTTGGACGATTGATCTTGCAGTCAATAGCATTGCGTCTGTTTCCCTCGCATCTGGTCTATGGCAACTTCCTCGCTTGCCCTTTCCTCAGAGCCGCACGTTGCCCAGAGGCACGTTGCCTGATATCTGAGCGTTTACAATCATCGCATCTATGGCTGCGCCACGGTTGTCAACGCGTTCAAGTCAGGTTTCCCGAACATTCTCTCAAGCCACCACCACGTTCTCCAGTGCATGTGGACGTCCGCCCATGCGTCATCTTCGGTTGCGGTAAGACTATTCTCGTTCAAATTAAGATCGATAATCGCTCATGATGAACTGGGCAAAGTAGGGGAGCACGCCTGAAGGTAATGAAACTGAGAAGCGTGAAGAAGACAAGACGCTGTCACGTACAGAACCAAGTTTCAGTTTCGGCACTACTGATTGAGCGAAAAGTCCTGTATACAGAATGCGAAAAGGGTATAGGCTTCGGTATAACGTTCTGGTTCTATCGCTGGGATCAGAGAAAGATTGCCTGTACACGTGTGTCTGCAGAAAGTAGTGTCGTGGAAGTGTACTGCACGAACAATTGCGGAGCCAAGAGCCCTAACCCCACTGAATCATTGCTGCGCATTTCGAACGCGCACGGGAAGTCATACGAACGTCCCAACTTCCTGCATTCCTGCCTTCGACAATTTCGAGGCGTTGTTTCTCGCTCGCTAACACTGAAAGGCCGCCCGTACAAGTCCTTCATACGCCCGTACGGCCCTTTCGATGCTCGAACCGACGCCCTTTTGATCAGCCGGGGGATCCCCAACGCGTGGAAGACGAGTTGCAACGGGAATCTGATGATAAGTTGAGGTTGATGACGTTACCCTGACGCTTTCCTTGCCACTTGACACAGCACCGCCTGATCCACTAACCGCTGGACATCAGCCACTTGGAGGAGTTAAGGCAGCACTTCCGTTGACTCGCAAACGGACCCGGACCGCACTCCTGGATTTTGAGGGCCCTTTCTTCAAGCGGCAAAGGAAAGCTGCCATGCCTACCCATCTGTCAGACGAACGAACTCTTACGACGTCCAAGAACACACTCGATGTCGTCCCGCCACACAGCATCCTCGCGCAGCATCCTCAAACAGCCCCTTTGTACTGTGCGTTCAAGGATTCAACGCATTTTGTGCCCCGCTTCATCCATTCGATGAAGGAGAGTGCAAAGGGGAAAGCGTCGCAAAGCGACGGGATCGACCGGGATCGACGAGCGACGAGCGAAAGCACCGAACGAAACAGGCGCTCGTAGCGTAATGGAGCTGGTGTAAAAAAACAGCAATCTTTCCATCAAAATCCTCATTGGTCCAGTGGTTAGGATCTGCCGCTCTCACCGGCATGGCCAGGGTTCGATTCCCTGATGGGGAATACATTTTGCAACTTCTACCGGGGTTCATCGCTGTGACACCCTTTTGGACCTGTTGGTCCAAGCGCGATGGAGTACGCCGCACGCATGGTGTCCTCGGAGATGCCCCTTGACCGGTCACAACTAATTGTGCAATATGATATCAATCAGTAGCTTCCTGCAGGGGGTGTCGGTATTGATAGGGGTGATAGGCGCCTATTACCTGGTAGGCGGTCCCCTCGTACATAGTTGTGGTTCCTGGGGGGAGTGCGAAAGAAAAACCCGCCCGGCAATGCTCTCGTTTCTCTCCCCTTTCGCATTTCGCACATTCCAGCATCCACCGCAATGACCGGAGGAATCACCGTCAAGGACGTCAGCGCACACGACTTCGTCAAGTCGTACGCCGCCTACCTCAAGCGTACCGGCAAGCTCGAGGTCCCCAAGTGGGTCGACCTCGTCAAGACGGCCACCTACAAGGAGCTGGCCCCTTACGACCAGGACTGGTTCTACATCCGTGCTGGTCAGTTGGTCGTGTCCTCGTCACCTTCCCCTGCAAGCTTCTCGTGATGCTGACAGCTTCTGTGTATTATGCAGCCTCCGTCGCCCGCCACATCTACCTCCGTAACGGTGTCGGAGTCGGTGCCTTGAAGAAGAACTACGGTGGCCGTGTCAACCGTGGAAACCGTCCCCACCACCACGCCATTGCCTCAGGATCCGTTGCCCGCAAGGTCATGCAGGCTCTTGAGAAGATCAAGGTCGTCGAGCACGACCCCAACGGGTATGAATTGTTGACTTGTGACAACGGTTGTGAGTGAAGTCGAACCAAAACTGATTCGCTCGGTTGTCTTCTTGCAGTGGACGTCGCATCTCTCAGGATGGCCAGAAGGATTTGGACCGTATCGCCGCCCAGATCGTCCGTGCCGACCAGTAGAGTTATGCTCTCTGTCATTACCGTACGCCCTGCCGCGGTCGCTCAATATCCGTAGTTTAGATTTGGTTACACATTCGCTACTTGTACAAAAGCGTCCGCACTCTGGCACAGACCTCCTACTCCGGAAAGGCGGAGATCGTTGGTAATCACCACCACGTCTCGCGCTCCGAGGAAAGAGAGTTTCTGCTTCAGGGAATAAAGTTCAATCTTCGGCCTTGCGGCCTCCGTCCCAAGCTCAAACAACCTCAACCTCCCCGAGACATGAATCTTGTGTGCTTGCGCCTGCCTTTGTTAGATGCTTATTTGCCTGGTCCGGAATCGCAGTCTGTTCCTGCCGAAGCTTTTTGAGAAATTGTGGCGTAAAAATGGAAGTCGTGTGGGTGGGTGTGCTCCGTTCGCATACTTGGTCCCCTTCTCCCTCGCGCTGCTGAAGGCTTCACACACATCGTCCACGAGCACATTCGCAACCCAATCCGTTCGAAACTCCCTACCAACCAATATCCTTTCCACGTAGGGAGGTGGTGCGTCGGTCTCCACGCGACGGAGTCCCGGCGCGCTAAACTCACGCCGCGAGATACGACACACCAACACAGACTCCTTGAGCTAATTGTTCACTGTCCATACTTCACCCTGGGAGAACGCAGACAGCAATCTTTTCCTCCCGCTTGCCTTTGCCGTTCACGGCAACACTCCGAGCCCTCCTGAAAACCGCGGACCGGTATGGTCGGCCTTGCATGGGGACCCAGTCGGGGAAGCAGGTTCCATGATGGCTTGTTAGCTGATGACCTTCCGTGCATAGAAATCCGACCGCGCAGCTCAATATCCTTAAACCATTACGCTGCGCATAGTCTCCTGAGTGAAGGTCCGGAACCATTGAAGCTTCAGTATGATTAGCTCAATCTAACTAGTAGCTTTTTAACGTACCAGAACGGCGGTTAGAGACTTTGTCTGCACAGTGCATCTTGGTCCGGACAGCGGGGTTCAGCGGACATGGAGCTGTCTGCAGACGACCCTCCTACCAGGAAAAACAGCGGAGCATCGACGATTGCAACTTTGCCATCATCAAGAGGGAGCGTCTCGTCGCAGGACGACGATGACCTCCCGGCTCCCCCGACGCGCCGTCGTGGTAGCGTCCTCGACGATGCCATCATGCGAGACATGCTTGCCGCCCGGGTTCCGGATCCGAACGACGTGGATGAGGACACGCTCGAGGGGATCGAACGTTCTTACAACATGCTCAGGTGGAGATTTGCAAAGACGGGTCACGGACACACGCGGGGAGTGTGAGCTCTCGAAGCGATCTCTATAGCTTACCGGTTTGGCTTTTCTTCATTCCCTTGGGTTGGCCCCTATAGGTTCTCGAAACGATATCGTCGCCAGCAGGTACAGAATGCCAACATGAGCTGCGAGCCCTGTCCAAATCCACCCGGAAACGCCGGCATGTCCACCATCGACATGTCCGCACGTCGAACGTCCATGTCTCACGGCGTGTTCGGGGCCGGAAGACACTTTGCCGCTTCCGAGCTGGACGCCGCGTTGGAGGAGATGGGTGCCGCCGTCGCCGACAGCGGTCCACCGTCGGACTTGACCTCAAGTCCTCCGACTACCCTTGACCGAACCTCCACTCGAATCGGGTCCCCCATTCCCGGTGGGCTCTTGAAGCGGGCCCGTCCTGCAGGCGACGAAGGCCCTCACGGTCGCACGGTGCGGTTCAACGATGTCATTGAGATCCTAGGGACGGCGGCGGGGGAGGGCGAAGAGCACGAGGACGGTGGGAAAAAGTACGCAGGGGACAAAGGCAGCGGGGGGGACCTCGGGAGTGATGCAACTATCAGTGACGATATGGCACCGGCCGCCGAGCGCCGCCCTTCCACCGTCAAAAAAATTGCGCGGGCAATGAAGAAGGCCCTGACATTCGGAGCCGGGGTTCAAACTGCGCAGGTGTGATGAACACTGGCGTCAAGGAGGTTACAGTAGGAGAGCATGCTCAGCTGTACTGTCTCATTCTGCATGATAAAGCTGTTTCGTTAGACATCCGTCTCCCAACCTTGCTGCCGATGCTGAATCGCTTTTACAATCGGAGCATATTACATTGAAGAGCGAATGATCAACATACGGACTACGATGGTGAACTCTATCTAACCAAGAACCCAACGGCGAACCCGTTGACCTCTCGCTTGGTGTCGGGCATCCATCGCGTACTTTCTTGCAGAGCCATCAGGACTTGCTCGCAGAGAGTCGGATGCAGATGAACCGTCTCGATCTGCGGGTCGTGAGCCCAGAGTTGAGAGAAAACTGCGACTGTTGGGGAGACCTCTGCGCAATCTAGGTAGAGGACCTTGACGGCAGGTGTAAGTGGCACGGGTGAAGAGCCCGGGGAAGATGAGGGAAGCAGCGGAACGTGGTTCGAGCCGGATGAAGGCGAGGGAGGAAAGGTACTGCTGAGAAGGGCATCCCAGTTCAAGACCCAAACGAGGATCCTCGGGATAGTCCCGTCTTTCTCCCAAAGGGCAAATCGATACGCCGCGTGCGCTCCGGTAGCATCCCAGAGCTCGTTCACAAAGTACGAAACGAAGGGCTTGTATGGAATCACCCCGGCGTCGCCTACCACATTTGAGGAGGAAGTAGTGAGATCTACGCAGTATCGATATAATTTGAGGCCTTGAACTTGGGCACGAAAGTCAGCGCTTTCGAATGTTTCGGGGATCCGGTCAAACTGATAATCTCCTATAGGCGTTTTACAAGCCCGACAAAGGGCGGGTGCGGTCCTGCCGACACGGAGAACTCCCTTTGACCAACAGAGATGGTAACGAAGGTCAGCACAGTAATATAGATGAACATCAACCAAGCCAACGCGAACGACAGCGAAATATGCTCTGAGGTAGTAGAATTGCACCCACAGCTCGAGGTGCAACAGTATTTGTTCAGAGCTCGTGCGATTTAAACACTTTTGAATATGGGAAGATTGTATCGATAGAACAGCTTACGCAGCAGCGTCCCTCTTCTATTACTTCCCGTACGTTGATTCCCGAAGTACTGGGCAGTCGGCTCACCTTATTCTTGTCTGCCATGTCAACGTCCAAGCTGTCCCAAGCGACGTCGTCCGGATGCACAACAATATAGCTCTTCCCTACGAGAACGGTTCCGGGGCGAGCAAGGACGACTCCACCCTTTTGTCCGGGCATCTGCGAATAGTCCTCGGTATGACAGGCCCAGCAATCTGTAAGCTCGTGCCAGTACTCGGACGGCAGGTCAACAACTTTCGTGAACCGGGCATAATCCGGGGCGGTCGGGAAGAGTAGGAGGGCATTTCTGCAGGCGTGACACGCTGCACTATGGAGACCTTTCAGAGATGGAGCATCTGAGGGAGACTCTTCAAGAGGTTCCGGGAGACGGGCTTGGTGCCGGAGGGTCACTTTTACGTCCATAGCGTGAGCTCTCCTCGTAACGATTGCGGAGCTCGGATCGACTGGATATGGGAGTGGAAAGGTCGCTTCATTCGCAAAAGTCAGGTGAGTTTCGCTCAGAACAGGTTGCGGCGCCTGTTCGGGTAACGACAAGCATATATGCACTGCACGGATCTTGGGCAAGATCTCGAGAAACGTCGGCGGAAAGGCTTTCTGGGAGCGAGTTGAGCAAGGAGACCCTCACCCACGCAAGTAAACAGATCAGTATACTCACAGTGAACTACAGTAGGCTCCTTGGAGTTTAATATCGATGGCGCTGGAAGCGGTGTTGTCAAGGTCATGGTTGAATGACTTCGCAGGAGGTCTTTGTTTGTTGGCGAAAGCTCAACAAAATTCCTATGTCTCGCTCTCACATGTCCGATTTCTTTGCGGCGCCCATTCTCATAGCATCCCGCGACGACCATCCCGTGAGGACTGCAGAACTTTCGAACTGGAACAACTTCCCGTCGTCATCGCTTTTTCAACATTGGTGCTCTCTCAAGTAACTGGACATTGTCTCCTCCTCCTTTCAACAAGTCCGTGGCAGTTCGTCCTTTGTCAGCTTCTTGCTATCCATCCGTACCTACTGCAGCCTATACCTGATTCGGACAGTTGCAAAGATCGTGCTCAGCCTCCTATAACATGG